TCCAAAGTGGATGCTCCGTGCCAACGTACAAAGGATTATTTTGATACACTGATTAGCTGATAGTGCCCTCTGTGGGACTGAAGTCATTATCAGCTGTGTTTGTTTCTGTAACCTTTGCCTACCTTGTATTTTAAAGCACCCCAGTCTAACAGGCAGAGATGTGTGAAATCAGTAATCTCATACAGGGTGAAACCTGGGTTTCCAGTTTCTTCCCCTACAGGATTGCCTTTATGGGATGATTCAACCCTTTGCGCTGCCGTGGGCTGGACAGCAGCATGTCCAGACAGGTGGGTGATCGGTGTGAAGTACCCTCCATGCTGGGTGGCAAACATATCCCCCTGGCAGTAGCTCCACACTGGTAAGGGGGTGCTTCCTTTGTATCCACATGGATAGTGGGAGGAGAGGTGATGACAGCAGTGGTTCCTTGCCTTTAGCACCAAAGTTAAAAATCACTAATCCTAAAGAATAACTGGTAGATAGCATTGAAGAAATGCTGCTGCTCACTGCATTTAGTAATTATGAAGAAAATGGAGCCTAGGCAACCTCATAAATACATTTTCTGTCAAATAAAGTAAGATGAATCCCTTGCCTCAGATCTAAAACAATCCACAGTTATCTTCCTTTTCCAGTGTGAGAACACCATATTCCAGGCTAGCTCTAGCTGCACCACTGGTTAAAGTGTCTACTGAGCTCAAAAACAAGTAAGGTTTGAAACTATCAAATGTCAACAAATGAGTTTTTTCCCACCTGTGCAACACCCTGGTTCCCTCCAGAACCTCTGTCTCCTTCCCCGTGATTGTCTCACGTCTCCAGAGTGTTCCTTTACCTTTACAGTCCATGCTGTCTTTCCAACCTATTCATTTTCTCATTTATCCTAATTTTCTCTTCATTTTTGTTTTTGAGTCAAGACTCTTCCTTGACTATTTTACACAACTCTGAAATGATGTACAAAAAGACTTGTAAGAGAGGAAGAACATGTCTTTACCCTCTCCTGCCTCCTAATGTAGATGCTTGCTGGTTCAGCCCCTTTCTCTTTAATGTGTGTTTTTACACCTGTGTTTTCAATTCCCCTGCACATTCCTCCATTCATTTTCTTCCTTATACAATGTCCTCCATCTCCAAGTTTTTCTTTGGATATCATCTAGGCCCATGCTGGGTGCTGTTCCTTATGCTTTCCTCACAGAAATCTCTCCACCTTCTCATCTTGCCTCACTCCCATCTGTTGTAACATATATTTGGCAGACGTTCCTCATTCTAGTGTCTTCCATCTTCTTTCTGATTCTCTCTTGTATCCTCTTTCTGTTTTTACTCCCTTTCCTACACTATGCAGTTGTTTGTCTTTCCCCATTCTGTACAGTTTCTTACCTTACATGCAGAGTAGCCATAGTTATGTTCCCCAACAGCATTGTGTTGTATGCATTCAGATACAAAGCTGATAATGACGGTATGGTTTGTACCTGCTTCACCTCCACAAGCAGAAAATACAGGGGAATAATGTCATCGTTGAAAAAAGCAGTCTCAGGCTTTATTGTCGCTAACAGCAGTAATAAAATACCATTTTGAAAAAGAAGTGGTTGCCAGAAAACTTAGAAAAAATGACCAAGTCAGTAAGTGCCAGCTTCTCCCTTCCTCTCTCTGGTAGGTCATTGCTAGTAACCTTATTGAATGCATCCATTCTGTTGTGAAGAAGTATTCAGTTTTGGAGAATGTAATCAGCATCAGTGTCACCATTTCTGCACATGAAACAAAAATTACTCAGTCCTTGTTACTTGGCTTTCTGAATTTCAACCGATGCTCCCAGGATCTTCCATGTCCCTGGTGTGAAGTGAGTCCCTGCAGCTGTTGCTTCCTCGTTTAGGAAACCCATCATATTGGGAGGGTTTTGCCTGCAAGCTGCAATGTCTGGATTCTGATAAAAGGCTTGAGAAAGCTTACTACTTAACTCATCCCGAGTGATGATTTTTAGTGTGTTTAATACATGCAGTCCAAGGAGCTGTGCCATCCTGGAGAAATATCTGGGAAAAATTAAATGGACCCCAATGTTTTGGAATTTCATTTGAAAATCTGGCAGAAACAAAGAGAAACTGGAGATCTAAGATGGATATTGGAATTTAAACTGAATCTTTGTTGCCTGCCATAGCAATATAATGTTAAAATATATGAATTCTATTTAAGTCCTAGATTGTTACCTGGTGGAGAGAAAGACGGGAATTTAATGTGGTTCCTCAGGAAGAGGGAGGTGGTGCTGGGTAAAGAGGAGATACAGAGAGAGTCCAGCTGAGGCCAGAGAGAAATCTGGTCTTTGACCAGTGCGAAGGAGGAAGGCAGAGGGGCTGGGTGATATGATACCACTGGCCGCCTTGTGCTGTGGTGGGGAAGCCATTTTAGGAGCTGGCCAGCCTGGAGAGAAGGCCATGGCTGCCATCTTAAGTGGGCAGCAGGGAGGCAACCAAGCTGTCACAGGCAAATGTTGCAGAAAGATCTGGGAAAACAGCACCTGGACTGGTGCCTGGAAACAACCTGAGGGGAAGGCAGGCTGCTGGCTTGCAGGGGAATGGTTTACACAACTGTGTCATGCAGCCATTTGGAGGGAACCACCCACTTCCTTACAGAGCAGCTTCCCACGATGGCCGCCTCACGTGAGATAGAGGGGGGCTGGGGCTTGGGGGTGCCTCCTCACACCCACTCCCTTCTCCAGCACAGCGGTGACTGCAAGTGCTGATCTGCTTTCTATTCGGCTCCGTTTTCTGCCCTTTTATTTTTTCCTAGCTGCTCCTGCCCCTGTGGTGTTGCCCCCATTTTAGATGGGGAAGGAGGACATGGCTGCTGCCAGGGCAGGGCCTCAGCATTATGGAGGGAAGCAGAGGGCCAAAGTCTGGAAAAGATGGGAAATCTTCTTCGTCCCTCAGGAAAACACCACTAGGAAAAAGGTTTTAATACCTCCTGAAGTGGTCAGAGCATGAGAGGAGACATGGGTCCTCATATCAGAGGAACTTGTTAGCAGAAATGATGGCAAAGGATATAAGGAAGGAAGCCCTTCAGGCTGGTGTTAAGACTATGACAAAGGATGTGAGTGAATCTGACAAAAGCTTGAAGAGACCAATGGTATTTGAATACCTGGATTTATGAGAAATAACTGATAACCTGAAAATTCAAGGCTGCAAGCTAAAGAAAGAAAGAGGCCCTGTTGTGAGGCTGCAGCCCCGGAGGCAGTGAAGGCCCCATGCCTTAACTTCTTCACTTCCCCATGGAAAAGATCGCAGGACAAAAAAGACTTTTCCTGTTGAGAAAAATAATTTAGATGGAAAATCTTTGAATATCTAAAAGGCCAGGGAAGGTACTACATTGATTCCAAATGAAAAATTCTGATAAATTGGTGAATTTCAAGTAGAACTTTGTAAAATTACACTGGTAAATTTACACAGGTAAAACTTATCAGAATTTCTTTTTAAAAATAATTTTTTCCCTGCTAAAGAAGAGAATTAAATTACAAACGAGTGCCTTGAAATTTAAGCTTTTTATTGTAAACAAACAAAGCTTTTGTAGAAACATAGAAACATCCCTTTCTTGGTTAATATACATTAATCAGTTATGCTTTAGTGGCAACAAAGTGCAGTGGTTGGAGGCTCAACTTTGGAGGTCTGGAAACTGTGGGCTGGCAAACTCCAGGCTGTTCTTTCTAGATAGGGTGTTTCACGTCCCAGAGCCACAAATCTTGTGCAGCAGTTTCTGTCCCCAAGACAGGGCACTTGAAAGAAGCAAGCTGATGCACAAGTCATCTTGGCAGGTTTTCAGAAGATTAGGGAGAATGTATTTCTTTTACCGGTGTTTTGCTTTCAGAGGATGAGCTTTTTTCACAGGGAAGCATTTATCCATTTGCATTTCAGTCTAGATCTGTAATGCAGGGCTAAAACTGTCGTTGTTATGTGGTGCCCAGAAACCCCCTCACGTGGTTTTCATGGCCTGATGGCAGGCATGCAAACTCCTCTGATGCTAGGTTCATACTTCCTGGCTGTACTGAGGCTTGGCAAAGACCCTTGGCTACAGACTCTGTTTATTCTCAGGTTACCAAGTATGGCGCATGCATGTCATGACTAGTTCTTGCTGGGGCCCTTAGTTCTGACTGTAGATCAAGATGCCTAGTAGGTTTTTCCCATGGTTTTTTTTTATCTGTGTTTCATACTAGATGTACTTTTTATCTGCATATGCTTTATTGATCTGGCAAGCTTTTGGACAATTGCTCAAAATATCCTTTAGGGTATCCACCTTTATGTCAAGATTGATGAAAGGGGAAATTCAGAAGCAAGCAAAACCTTCAGTGAAGTTAGCTATTGCAAGTAGGTTAGGAAAAAAAAAAAAGAGGTTATATATTAAACCAGTTGCATTTTTAATTAGATTTGAAAGCCTAACAAATTTTGCTCATTGTATTAAGCATTAGATACTTGAATACCTATCTTAAGATAAATGTGAGCTTTTAATTTTTATCAGCCTTGCCATTACTGAATATACTTGTACATGGAATGTATAAAAAAATTTTACAAACTCCAATATTTAATATTCACTTATATTTGCTTGCTTAATTTGTATGTATAGCTATTGCTTTTCTAAAAGATTCATGAAGTATTTGCAGGAGCTCATACCATTAATGATTATTTCAGAAAATTGGATGGAGAATTTACGTGTGGATCTACATTGCCTGGAAAATCTTGGCCCTAGTCTTTTAAGACACTGTTCTTACAAATCTTGTGATCCATATTGATAAATATAATGTGAATGAGAAGAGGGAGAGGGGTATGCATTTATTAAACATGCTTGCGCATGAGAATGGAATGAGTGGGACAAAAAGGGAGTGGTTGATAATAAAGAGGGAGGGTTAGGGGCTGGGCATAGTTATTATATGAAATTTAAACTCTTATGAAAAAAACTGGTTGAGCAACCAGCCTTAATAGCTTCAACAGACTATTCTCAATAAAGACAAGCTGGTAAAAGCAGCTGTTAAAATGTTGTCAATAAGTGAAGTTCTCATAGCCTTGACTGTATTCCTTCTAATTATGCAGTTTTTTAAGTTGCAACGAGTACGGAGACAGCTTCCTCCTGGACCAATCCCTCTCCCAATTTTGGGGACCTTGGTACAGCTGAACTTTCAGTTTAATCGTGATCTTCTCATGAAGGTATTTATTTTCAGATACTCCTAATTGTTTAAAAGTCTTTTTAATTTCCCAGTTCTCATGTTGTTTGCTCTGTGAAAACATGCTCTCCCAAAACTACATTGGTAACATACTGTAATTGTTAACTAGCCACTGTGATATTGCAGTTGGCTTGGTTCGGAACTGCTGGTTTGGTTGGCAAATAAGAGAAAGTTATTGCAGCATAAAGTAGTTTGCCAAGCTAAGAAAACTAGTATTGGAAGTTCTGAATGTGTGGAAATCATTCTGATGCTTAAACCCATCACCTTTTAACAGTGAATTTGACAAATTAATGTGAAACTTGATATCCTTTCATCACCCCTTAACACTAAATCTGACAAATTCATGTGAAAATTGATATAATTTAGGATTAAATACCTTTAGGGATAATATAGCAGATTTGCAGTTAGGGAAAAGAAATACTATTTAAAAAAATTACTTTCACAGCACGGATTTTCAGCTTTCTGATCACTGGCACTCTCTAGCTTGAGCAGTAAACAGGTATTTAAGATGCACTACGTGTGTATATGCTTGTTTGTATTGACAGGATCTAAAAAAAATCCCCAAGAACCTTTTGTTAGTTTTTTTTTTTTAGGACTACTTCTGTGCACAAAGCCACCTCTTTCATTCTGTTGGTTCTCACAGTGCTTTCAGGATTCTCAATAGACAACTCCTGTGGCTTCTGTCACTGCAATTTGGATGGAGGCACGCCAGTTATTCTGACCAAACAGCAGGTTCAGACGGGAAGTAAGGACACTGTGAGACAGAATTGTGGTCTTTACTCAAGTTCTAGTACCTAAATATGCAAAGGGGCCGGGGGAAAGAAGACAGTAACTGGTCTGGTCTCTACAAGCTAGTTACTCCTCTGACATTTCTGTGTTCCCTTTGCGCCACTACAAATGATAGAAACCCTCTTGAAATAAATTCATGCAGAGAAAATACCCCTTATCACATGAATCATTGTGAACTGAGCCTTGGCTTATATACAGTAATAGAAGATACCTAATGTTTCTTGGCATAGATCTGTGGCTCTGAAAAGCTGGAATATTCAGTTGTTTCCAGCAGTGAATGCTGAAAAGACATTCATGCTTTCTCACAGATAATTGTAATCTTGTGGGAAAGTTGGAGAATATAATTCCGCTTTAGGGCTGGTCCCATAATCCATGTAAAAACAGGTTCATCCTCTGTCTGTTTGCAGTGTGTGAGATTTCATCTGTGCTTTCCTGGCTTCTCTTCTGTCTATAGCTGGCAAAAATTCATGGCAACATATTTACCTTATGGTTTGGATGGGCCCCAGTGATCATACTGAATGGATATCAAGCAGTTAAGGATGGTATGACCACGCACCCTGAAGATGTTTCCGGGAGGCTAGTGTCTCCTTTCTTCAGAGCAATGGCCAAAGGAAAAGGTGAGATTTTCTTACCATAAATACTGTCTGGACAAATTGCAGCTCTTCTGTGGCTTGTAACCACTTCCAATGGTACCTCAGTAGCAGGGTTAGTCTATGACGAATGACTGCCACGTGAACTGCAAAATAGGGAGGGGTGAAATAGCCTTTGGATACTAGTAGGAGGAAAGGACCAGCAAAAGAAAAAAGATTTATAATGCCTTGTGTGGAAAATTCACTGGAGCAGATTCAGAGGTGATGAGGTGAGTCAGTGGTAGGTTGCGCCACAAAGAAGTGGAGGAAGAGCAGGAAACAGCACGCCTCCTTGTCCTGGAATTGCTGCCTCCCACTATTACATTTTCAATTGAAGAGTGAGCCTGTTGGTGAGATCATCTTCCCATTCCCTTCCTTTTGACAATATTTTCTTACTCTCACAGTTGCACCTAGAGATTCAGTGAACTTCTGTTTCAACCTTGCTGTAGGTTTCATACTCCCCATACTGGAAATTCCCGAACTCCTGACTTTCGTGAACACATGCATTATGAACCTTTATTTTATTTGGGACCTCAGCTTTTTTTAAGGAAACCTAATTCCTTAAATATTTCTAATTTGAATTTGTTTCAGTCATTGGTGACTTTTATACTACATTAAAGATCCTGTTAGTATATGATGTTTATTTCTTCTGAAGATATTTGTCACAAAGCCCAAGTACTGAACTTTTCTGCCTCGTGGATGTGAACTTTTCTCCCTAACTCTGGACAGTCAGAACGCTTTCCTCTTTTCTTTTAATGAGAATCGTTACCCTGGTCAGGTGAGCTCCAGGCATAGAAGAGAGTAGGAGGCAAACACTTCAGAGAACGTCTAGAGAAGTAGCTGTCAAACTTTCTGAGATAACTGGTTGTCTTGGATCAAGGTTGATTCTGCAAGTCATCCTATTACCTAGTTGAGTTTTTCCATTTTAGCCCTGCTTACACGCCACAGCTCTTCCTTTGTGTGTTTGTGTTCATAGGCAATGCAATAGTTTCATTATATGCTGTGTTTTAGTAAATCTTTTAATGTAGGCTTTGTCTATCATAAATATTAGCATGATAAAGAGCTCTTCCCTGGATGGATGCAGGGATTATGTTGGCAACTGGTCATACCTGGAAGCAGCAGCGAAGGTTTGCACTGAGGACTCTGCGCAACCTTGGCCTGGGAAAAAGGGGTTTGGAGTATCGAGTTCAAGAAGAGGCACGCTACCTGGTAGACTACTTTGCAAGTATGAAAGGTACCTCTGCAATAAATCCCAATTCATTTTTGCCATTAGTCCTATGTCTTTAGCGTATGAACTTCTCTGTCCGGCTCTAAAATCAAGGGCAGTTTTGTTCCACAAGAGAGGACTGAAAATGCAAAACCCCAGTCCTGTGTTTCAAACCCAGTGGGAGACTATTCTTGTTAAAAGTTATTTACAAAACTACTAAAATTGGGAAGCCAAATTGGAGCTTATTTGTTATTTATATCATAGAATGCTTAAAGTGCACAGGGATCTCTGAAGATGGTCTAGTCTAACCCCTTCTCAAAGATGGGTCAATCAGAGCAGTTTCTTAGGGCTGAGTCCAGTTGGGTTTCTGCAAGAATGGAGACTTCACCGTCTCTCTGGGTAACCTGTTCCAGTGTTCAATCAGCCCTACAGTAAAAAAGTTTCTTACATTCAGGTAGAATTTAATGTATTTCAGTTTTTGCCTGTTGCCTCACTTGATACCACAGAGAAAAATCCAGCTCCATGTTCTTTATTCCCCTCTATCAGGTATTTATACACATTTAAGATACTTCCCTGAGTCTTCTCTTCTCCAGACTAAACGGTCCCAGCTCTCTCAGCATCTCTTACGTGGGATGCTCCAATCCCTTAATTGTCCCTGTGGCCTTTTGCTCAACTTGTTCCAGTATGTTAATGTCTCTCTTGTCCTGGGGAGCCCAGAACTGGGCCCAGAGCTCCAGATGTGTCTCACCAGTGCTGATTGGAGGGGAAGGATCCCTTCCCTCGACCTCCAGGCAATGCCTTTCCTAATGCAGGCCAGGATGATGTTGGCTGCCTTTGCCTCTAGGGCACATTGTTGGCTCATATATGGTGCTGGTGCATCCAGATACGGTGAGTTAAGTCTTGTAATGCCATTTGCATAAACTCTGTAAAGCAGTGACTAGAATCTTGTCTTCATTACAACATTTTATCCTGATTAACCCAGTTAGGAGCATGTGAGTTTTATTTCCCAATACTGATCATTATGCAAAAGCACAGTAAATGAGGATGTGCTGTGGCTAGCATTGTATCAATTAAAAGCAATTGCACCTAGCTCAATCCCATGGTTTAAGAACTAAGAGAGACTAAGATGTTACTATGTGTGCAGGAAAGAAAATACCAGAACAATAAGCTGCTAATCAGAATTGTGCACTGGGTGTTGGACAGTTGCATCAGTACGTACATAAATATAATTGTTTAGACTGGATATAAGGAAGAAATTCTTTACAATGAGGGTGGTGAAACAGTGGAATGGGTTGCCCAGGGAGGTAGTGGAGGCCCCATCCCTGGAAACATTCAAGGCCAGGTTGGACGGGGCTCTGAGCAACCTGATCTAGTTAGCGGTGTCCCTGCTCACTGCAGGGGGGTTGGACTAGATGACCTCTAGGGGTCCCTTCCAACCCAAAACATTCTATGACAGTGATTTATTCTGGAATCACAAAATATTTTTTCAAGTAACTGCTTTAAAATTAGTTATTATATTGTTGTCACAATTGGTTGAAAGGAGTTTACAACATTTTATCTTACTAGAGGTTGTACATGTCTAGCAACGTCAGACAAAATATAGTAGCCTTGCATATATTTATGTTCTTGCTGAATAAGGCTTCCTCTCTTCTTAGGGTTCTCCCCTCACATTTCCTTTGACCAGTGTTTTCAGTCATTTCTATGCTTGAGACCTGTTTTGAATTTGTCAGACAGCAAACTTGCACATAATTGTTTTCCTTACCTCTAAATTTACTCTATCATATTATGAAATACTTTACACATTTGGCATTTCTTTAGGATGCCACATGTTCCTGGGATTATGGGATTGCACCATAGTTGTGAAGCACCAGTCTGATACTACAATTTTGTAAGCTGCTTCTCTGTGAAATGCAATACTTTCCTGAAAGTTCTTTGGGTAACCTGTAATATTGTCTCATTTCATTAAAGCAGAATATGAGACATTTACAGTGATGTTTATTATTATGGTTGCAGGGAAACCTCTGGATCCTTCTTTCCCTCTTGTTCATTCCATCTCAAATGTAATTTGTGCTATTGTTTTTGGACATCGCTTCTCCAGAGAGGATGAAGCCTTCCATGAACTGATTAAAGCCACAGAGCACCTATTCAAATTTGGAGGCAGTTTTATTCATCGTGTAAGTAGACAATCTGTTGTCTTTTTTTGAATAAGACAGAAAGTGAGAAATGCAGATTCAAGAGGTAGGTGTTAGGCAAAAGTTTTTGAATGGGTGACTGATGTCACATGCAGCTTTACTGGGCAGTGCACTATCTCAAAGTGTGGTGGTCATTTGTGTCTATTGTCCTATGTTTCAGTGTTGTGATAAGGTAGTTTGCTCCTAAATCTCTGCAGCAAGGCACGAGCTGATGGACTGTTCCTGGGTCGTGTCTGTTACTTGGTTTCTCAACCCCTATGCACAACAGATTTCTGCCCTGGGCATCATGATTATTAAATACTAAAGGTCAGGTCTAAAAATGTGATTCATGTGCCAAGTTTAGACACTGTTTTATAAACAGTCAACAGAGAGAAGACTGATTCAAATACCGAAGTGTTTTGCCTGTGGCTACTTATCTCCATTTCCTTTATAAGTGGAGGCTTGAAGGCTTTCCAGAGAAATTTGACTCCTTCACCCTGAGTGGGGCGCAGCTCTAGATGCAGGCAGCAGAACAGAAAATGCTAAGCCAGCAAATATACCTGTAAGCTTGGCAATCAAAACAATTAGTGCTCTTCTGAGAGTCAGGGACTTACCTGACACTAGAGGAGGCCTGCTTTGCACAGAAGTGCAGTCAAAGTTGCCTGGGAGTTCTGGTTCTGGTTCCACTTCTAAAGTTGTCACATACATCTTATGCAGTAGCTTCCTAATGTAAAACACATAAGTAGTCCCTGTAATAGAGTTTTCCTCCCACATCCCATGCAGCATTCCTCACACTGAGTTATGGTCAGGTTCCCTTTTGCTTAGCCCAGCTTTGGTCCCATAAGTTGTGTGTAGTGGTGGCAGGTGAGACCTGCTTTTGGGATAGAGAATATATCTCCTTTCCTTCTCTCCTTCCTACCCTAGCTTTGAATAATGAATGAATGAATAAGGTGCTGTTCTGGGAAATAAGAACAGGGGTTCAAACCATTCCAGAGGGAGGGCTTCAATCTGCCCACTTCCTCGGTGGAAAGGGCATTCATTATTATCTAAAAAGTGGACATTGCTGTGTCCACATGCCTGTTTCTTAACTGGATTCCACGCTGTCAGGCACTGGATGGACAACTCTGTGGATTGGGCCCCTCCATAAAAGGGAGAAGGAGTTTTGGCATGACTGGTAGCCAGGAAGGTGGATGGGCTTCATTTCCTGTCTTGAATGTTGATAGCTAAATTCCACTTACAGTTACGGTGCCATAGTAGCCAGAAAGTGCATGTATTTGAGAGGAGGAATGCATGTAATCTGGGCAAACACATACAATTAGTCAGTCCACAGTTGTATGTGAGGCTTCTGAACAGCTTTTGAAAGAAAAAAATACCAGAGATGGAACTAACCAAAAAGTTCTGTGTGAATTTACCAAGGGTTGGACCTTTCTGTGATAAGGTAATGATTAACTGATAATCAGATGTCTGACAATAAAAACTGATTTTCCAACAAGACAGAAGTATAGTGTGCCTAATTCAGCCAGACTCCAGTAAACACCTAATAATGCGCTTTCTGCAGTATAAGTAGGAGAGTACAAGAAGAGCTCAGCAAAATGAAGACTGAGAAAGGATAGAACTGCTGAGAAATAAATCACGGGATTATGTTTTGAGCAGGAAAAGAACTATCAATGGAAAAATACACTGTGGATACAAGAACAGTGTATACAAATTACCCGGGCATAAAATATAGGCTGAAAATCAGAATGAACTTGCTAGCTATCAGAGTAGGTAGAAAGCAGCTATTCTTGGGCCAGATTTTCCCAAATGGTAAGAGAGAAGGATAAAGTTAATCTGGTTGTGTCAGCTAATCCCTTCTTTTCTTGAGGAGGGTACTCAAAAATGCCACGTGGCTGTTTCTCAGCTTTCTGGGTTTCAAGTTTTATTACGGACCCTTGACAACTCGATCAGTAGAGAGTGCTTTGGGGGATTACCGAGTTTGTGTGCCAGTTGCTGGTAGCCGGCCCTTGCTTGGGTTGTACCAACTGCTTTTGCGCATCGAGTTTGCAGCGGCTGTGCTTCCTGGTATTCTCCACTGGAGGGCAGGATCTCTCTTTTTAAATGTCTGAATACAGTTCATTGTCGTTGAATACATGAATAATTGAATAAATGAAGACATTTCATTCAAATTATAATAATTCTAATTCGGTTTGTGGTTGAGCTGAAAGCCTGTTGGAACTCCGAATCTTACCACCAACACAGCTAGAAATTATATAGCGTACTGTTTCACAATTTGAAAACATAAGCATAGTCTTTGTCAGAATATTTTACTAATGATGCCAAACCCACATGTTAACATGAATATTACCTTCTGTTTTTAGTAGGCCTAAAATACATTTCCTAGTGGTAGAGACTTTGTGGTACCTCTTGTGTGTTACCCCCGCAGCTCTATGAAATCTTCCCCTGGCTGATGAGCCGTCTCCCTGGTCCTCATAAGAAGGCGTTGTCTTGCTATGATGTCCTGAGCTCTTTTACAAGGAGAGAGATCAGAATGCACACGGAGCGTGGGAGACCAGATGAAATGCAGGATTTCATTGACTTTTACCTGGATCACATTGAAAAAGTAAGTATTTATTCTGCCTGATCATACATTCATGGGGAATAAGGTGAAATGGACCATTAAATCATCCAGTCTGAGCCCTTCTATCACAGTCTCTTACCTTTCATAGCCATCCTAATGTGAGCCCAGAAACCAGGGACTTGCTAAATCCTTTCTCCTTATTGATATGTCACAGCACCTTGCAAGCCTTTAATGAAAGGGCAGGTTAATACACTGCATTTTTTCTCATTGGCACAAGTTACAAAATTATTTAAGGCCTCCAGGAAAAAATACTGAATTTCTAAGTGGATCACAGGAGAACTGGGAAGGTCTTGGGGAGACAGAATGAGATGTTCCGGATAGGATATTTGGCTGGTAAGGGTTTGTCAAGAGAGGTTGCTGTGAGAGGGCAGTTGGATTTTGAGAGCATTTTGTGGGGAAATAATCTAGGAATCAGCAGAGTTTCAGACAAGGGGAGAGTGCCAGGGTCAGTGACGCTTCAAGCAGATAAAGGGAACTGGGACAAACAAGGGCATTTTGGGCAGGCAGGCATAGTAGAGGTAGGTGGGAATCTGTAGGGTTTTGAAAGGCTGTAGGAGGCTTAAGCTGTGAGTGGGGACATTATCTCTCCTTTTTCTAGACCTTACCAGGATCACTTTGTCTTAATCTCTTGGGAACTGGACTAGCAGCTGCTCTTCCCCTCTGTGACTCCTTCTGCCTCCACTTAATCACTCTTCCTTTCTCCTCTTCTCCACTGCAGTAGACCATAATCCTCCTCCTGTTCTGCTCAGTGATAGGAAGAAAAAGGAGAAAGGGGAGGAAGTAACAAGATGAGACTGGTGTTACTGGGGGGTGACAAGGCAAGAATGGCTCAGAGAGCGAAACGAGATAGCCAGGGTAGGGGGGCATCTATTCTTGCAGCCCCTGGAGAAGTGGGTAGGACTGCTGCTCCGGGGTGGCAGTGCTTCCCTGCAGGGACAGCCGGTGCACCTTCCACCGTGGCCACGTGCTGGCTGCAGCAGCAGCGGGCACTGCAACCTTGTCAGGCTGTGGGCACCCATCCTGCATCTCTTGGCACAGCCAAAATGGATCTGCTGTCCTGGACTGCCGCCTGCCTTGTCTGCTCCCTGAGTTGGCTCTGCTGCTGTGCTCAGCCACACTAGAGAGACATGCATCCAGGGAAGAATGTCTTTTAGCTATTCCTGACAGCCAGCTCTTTAGTCTTTCAGCATGTGTCTTACAAATACTTCATAGAGCTTGGGGTTTTTTTTATTATTGTGGGGTACAAAAGCAACTATCTTATGGAACTCCATATGCAACTGTGAAATTGTCATTATCGTCCAAGTTGGTAATTCTATCAAAGAATCAAATCAGATCTCCTTGCCAAGACCAGTTTTCTGTATCATAATAAATAGCATTAATTTGTATTTCTAGCTGCTAATTCTTTATTAATTCATTCCCATATCAGCTGCCACATTTTTATTTCCAGGGTGGATGTCAGCCTAACTGACTTCTAGTTCTTTGGATCCTCGTTTTAAATTTTTTTTATATACTGGCACAATATTAACACATCTGGTCTTCCAAAGCATTTAAGTGCTTCTAAAGCCTTTCACTGCTGTTCTAAGATTTATGAGACTTGAACATCAGTGGACCAGAAATTGTTTCAGTGAGCTCTTCTGGGACTCTGCTTGGTGGAAATCATCCAAGTTTGTTTATTAAAAAAATTGAACTGTCTGTAATAGATATGCAGGGGCAATATAAAAAGATCAGATGATATTACAGCAGCGAAAAACATCCTTCCCACTTTCCAGTTCCTCCACTGGCAAAAGAAAAGTTCAAGACCCCTGAGCATAACCTCCCTAAATTTAGATAATTCCCTAAACCATAACAATATTTTTTCATAGTTTCAGCATACGCCCTCACACTTCTAACTGAAAACTGTAAAACTCCAGAGCAGCTGTACCTGAGTCATTGTGGCCTTGTAGTGGAGAAGAATACCACAGGTTAAGAACTTTTGACAGCCCAGTTTGTCTTACCTGGTCTGTGTATTCACAGAATCACAGAGTCGCAAGGGTTGGAAGGGACCTCGGGAGACCATCCAGTCCAACCCCCCTGCTAAAGCAGGTTCTCCTAGAGCATGTTACACAGGACTTTGTCCAGGCGGGCTTTGAATATCTCCAGAGGAGGAGACTCCACAACCCCCCTGGGCAGCCTGTGCCAGTGCTCTGTCACCCTCAAAGTAAAGAAGTTTTTCCTCATATTCAACTGAAACCTCTTATGTTTCAGTTTGTATCCATTGCCCCTTGTCCTGTCACTGGACACCACTGAGAAGAGTCTGGCTCTGCCCTCATGACATCCACCCTTAAGATCTTTGTATGTCAGTACTCCGGGTGGGGTCTCACCAGGGCAGAGTAGAGGGGGAGAATAACCTCCCTCGACCTGCTGGCCACATTCCTCTTAATGCACCCCAGGATACCATTGGCCTTCTTGGCAACAAGGGTGCACTGCTGGCTCATGGTCAGCTTGTCATCCACCAGGACTCCCAGGTCCCTCTCGGCAGAGCTGCTTTCCAGCAGGTCAGTCCCCAGCCTGTACTGGTGCCTGGGGTTCGACCTCCCCAGGTGCAGCACTTGGCACTTGCCCTTATTGAATTTCATCATGTTCCTCTCCGCCCAACTCTTCAGCCCGTCCAGGTCCCACTGAATGGCAGCGCAGCCTTCTGGCATATCAGCCACTCCTCCCAGTTTTGTGTCATCAGCGAACTTGCTGAGGGTACACTCTGTCCCCTTGTCCAGGTCATTGATGAACAAGCTGAACAAGACTAGGCCGAGTACTGAGCCCTGGGGAACTCCACTAGCTACTGGACTCTGCCCTGCCGATCAGAACCCTCTGAGCCCCATCGTTCAGCCAGTTCCCAATCCACCTCACTGTCCACTCATCCAACCCACAATTCTTGAGCTTCCGTATGAGGATGTTACGGGAGACAGTACCAAAAGCCTTGCTGAAATCAAGGTCCAGTGTTCTCCCCTCGTCTACCCAGCCAGTCATGCCATCATAGAAGGCTATCAGATTGGTCAGGCACCATTTCCTCTTACTGCTTAGTAGAAAAACTAAGTGATGGAATATGACTTGAGGCATGAAGAAGGACATGCTGGTGCGTATCTTCAGAGGAATGTTTACTTACGAAACATTATAAATGTACCACTATTTTCACAATTAAGCCAATAATCCTTTTCTGTGGAGGACATGTGATTTAGCCTCATGATTAGGAGTGGAGTAAACATGGTTTGCCCATTTGTGAAATGTTAGCTTTTCATATTGATAATCATCTTTGGTATCTAATATTCTTTATCAGTCTCTCTGTATTGTATTATGGGCAGAACACACTGCAGCTAGGAACTGGTGATAAAGCCACATTCAACCCTATTCTTGTTTTTCTAATTTTTATGTATAAACCTCTACTTTTTCTTATCATTTGCAGTCCAAAGATGAACCCAGGTCTACATTCAATGAAGACAACATGGTTTATTCTATAAATGACCTTTTCTTGGGTGGATCAGAGACAACAAGCACAACTTTGAACTGGGGCCTTCTCTATATGGTGGCAAATCCAGACATCCAAGGCAAGTAGATAAGCACATATCAAATATCTCTGATGCAATAGAACAGCCGAGTGATAACATTTGCGTGGATCAGAGATTATTCCTAGGTACTGGTATATGGCTAGAGGCACATGCACCTTTTTGTACTGGTAGATCTGCACTAGGCAGCATTGGTAGATCCAGAGCCTCCACATAGAGGCTCTTACAGCAGTTACAGGCATAAGGCAGTTCCCAGAAAGAGTTAACAGTTTGGGAAGTACGCATATGCATAGGAGGTTGTGGCTGACTGAGATGTAGGGGTTGAGATCTTCAGAGAAATGAAGATTGTGGTAGAGTGGTCAATGGAGTAAGAGGACTGGAGTTGCTGTTTGGAAGCCAGAGGGTTTGCACATATCATCCTTGAAGGAACGATGTCCACTGCTGGAGCCCTTGGTGCAGTGCTGATGGTACTTCAGGAAACTGAGTTGGTTTCTGTCTTAGTCATAAACACGACTGATGGCTGAAAATAATTGATGAGAAATGCATGTGTGACAGTAGGGATGTCACTCTTAGGAAACTTACTTCAATTCTGCTTTGTATTGGATGAATATTAGTGATAGGGGCTACAGGGAGTCCTGTAGGGAGAAGCTTTGTGCTCTGTAAGTCACAGAATTAGTAAAGATAATCACCTGAAAGTCAATTGGCAACTTTGACTTTATTTTTGTCCATCAGTCTGTTTATGATACCTGGTGTCAGGGTATCTATTTAATCTGTGATTAAATTAACACTGTGATGTATCTGAGTTTCTTGCAACAGAAATTATTCCAGCTGGGAGGGGAATTTGATGTCTCATCTGTTATGTCTAGGTATATTTAAGAAGTTTAAGTCTAGCTTTTAAATTACCATAAAACAATTTCATAGAGCATTAAACAAAAATGAAAGAAGGAATGATCTCTTATGCTGGATAACAGAAATCTCATTGTCAGATAGCAGAATATGTGCAAACACCCAGAAGAGAACAGGATTTTAAATGGAGGGAAGAGATGAAGATAAGAAAAAATAGCTCAATTTGTAGCTGTCAGACAAGATGATGTCCTTAATCTTATGTTATTTTATGTTTATTATCACCTAATGTAATTAAGGTTATGAAAGCGCTGACTCACCTAAATAGTTTTATTTATCTAAATATAAAAACTTGCACATACTTGGGAAAGCAGTGTGTGTGCAGAATGATCATTCCTGGGCTTCTTGAGTCATACATTGCATCTAGACTCTCGTAATGAACTGACACCAGATACCTGTCCTCATATAGAATTGGTGGCTTCTTTTTGAACCCGTTCATACTTTTGCCTGCATTGACACCCAATGACAATGTTATGCAGTTCCGTTATGTACCATATGGAGAAGTTTGGCTTTTTGCCTATTCGTTGAATTGGGCTCTCCCTGTTCTCTGAACTACTGGACCAGAGACGCATATTTATACTATACAGTGACTGATCACTTCAAACTACACTGGATCCTGAAGTAGTCATGCTTGATTTTGCAAGGTAGTTCTTCAGAGAAGGAAATTTGCTTTATTTAAAAATCTTTCTGGATATACATTTTAAATTCTGTAAGGTGCTTCCATCTCTGTTGCCAGGGTCTACCTAACATAGTTTCATGAAGGACTGCTGGCAGTCACTGAGCAGGCTTGATGTGGATGAGCTTGAACTGATCAATGCACAGTGGGCTTCCCTGCATCTCAGTGTTGCTTCAAAGGGCCTGGAAAAAGACAGGATCATCTATTAAAAATCTAAGGCATTTTTATTATGTGTGTGTACTGCCTCTCTTGAAGTTTACGAACCAAATTTTATACTTTTGTTAATGCTGCCAATGCTCCTGCGCAATAAGTAATTTGAATCATACTATTTTAGATCAAAAGGCAGGCGCCAAGAAGTAGATCCAGGTTTTTTTAAAGGTATTTGGACATTGTTCTAGTTGGCATTGCTTCACTTAACAGACATCCTACATAAGAACCATTTCCTTTCAATAGGAATTAGGTTTTTAATGCCCAGATTAACCTGGCTTAAATTCCAGAGAGCTGTGAGCTTAGTGGTTCTAACTGGCTGTAGGTGCCTGAGGCACCTAGCCAGAAGAAAACAAAGATAAATCAGTTATTTCTTGCATTTAAGTGTTAATAAGGCAAGTCTTAAAGAGTTTTAAATTTTTGAACAACAAATGTCTTTTGTTAATGTACAATCAAATAGCTTCAGACTCAGAGCATTCAGATGTTTAACCTGTTGGAACACCCTGCTACTTTTATTTTCTTTATAAAAATTACTTTAATTTTGTTGCTGTCCTTGTAGTTGTAAATGGGAAATGTCTTTGAAAATGGGGTTAGTGAAAATACTTGATATATTTTTCTACCTGCAACAGTGAATATTTCTCCACAGAGAAAGTGCAGAAGGAGCTGGATGCCGTTCTGGGTCCTTCCCAGTTAATCTGCTATGAGGATCGGAGAGAACTGCCCTACACAAATGCTGTGGTTCATGAGATCCAGCGCTTCAGCAACATTATCTCAGTTGGCGTGCCCAGAGTGTGTGTGAGGAACACTACATTGCTTGGCTTTCCCCTCAAAAAGGTACAGATGCAGTTTCTCAGTTGATACAGAACTTTCCTGCATCAGTAGAGAAAGGTACAGATTAAAATCTATTTGTGCCAGGGACTTCTCAACAGCAATGGGGCTGGATACCTCTGGGCCATAGCCTGAAAGGGAACAGGTGAGAAACCATCTGCCAGGCTGAGCTGAGTGACGCAGATCTTGGGAGAGGGTTGTCAGTAGTGAAAGATGCCCCTGGAAGGAAGAGGGGATTTTAGCAAGTGTTTCTACAAACCAATGAAGACAAAACCTTTGAGGTCGATACTGAAGGATACTGTGATTGATTTGTGCTCATAAGGCATTGGAAAAACTTCTGACTGAATTTTTGCCTGCAGAAAGCCTGTAAAAGATCCAGGGAAAAGCATGAGGGTTTGCAACCAGCTTTTGTCAAAGAGGCTAAAATCACAGAAACTTCTAATGTTAGAAGTGAAAATGAGTGTAGTACAAATGAAGTTGTTAGTTTCTAGTGACATGGACGCTTCCACTGTCGGGCTTGGACTGACATTCTGAAACAAAAGGACTTCGTGTTCCTCACAGTTCCTCCTGGGGAAATGAACCTACCAGCATACAACACTGAATCCTGAACACTGAAATTAAATTAACACTGGTCTCACCCAGCCGGCTCTTGACTGCTGGGGGAGGATTGGCAGACAGAACTGAGTCAGTGTTTTTCTCCTTTCAGGGCACCATAGTTCTTCCAAATATTGCTTCGTCTTTGTATGATCCAGAGCAGTGGGAAACACCTCGACAGTTCAACCCTGGTCACTTCTTGGATAAGGATGGAAATTTTGTGAGCCAAGAAGCCTTTTTACCATTCTCAATAGGTAAATGGCCGACAGCACAAACATTAACGGTTTGGATTGGGACTGTGGAATTAAGATGTCCATTAAAAACCTATTGGTTGTTTATTTTAAACTTTTTTGCGGAAAACAGTAACATTTCCCAATCCAACTGTAAACATTTGTTCTGCTGAACAAATAATAACATGGAAAATCAGAGACATCCTGGCAAATGTATACATCTAACTTGCCCTATTTTTGGAAGGATGTTCTCTGCTAATAATTATGGTTACTGATTTGGGGCATACATTTCAACACCAGACATATATTTGAAAAGTACTTGTGAGCAGTTGTGCTGATTCTTTATGCATACAAAACTGGACCACAACATCTTCATCCCAGGAAGAGCAAGTCTTTGTTCTTCATTTACATGATTGAACGAATTCCTTTAAAGTTGACAGTCAAATGAAGATGAGGTTTTTGAGATAATTGAAGTGAAACTTGGAGCAGAAGGGATGCACAGTTATCTGTAGCTGCAGATAGGATTCTTTAAAGGAAGAATTACGTGAAGTTTTGTGTCACTGATCGTATTAAGTCCTAAAGAAATTCTGGACTCAACAAAAATACCTTGGCTTTGTGTGAGGATGAATATGATTGCTTCTGAGGTCAGGGTAATTTACTCACTGTCCTTCCCCCTTCCTTCTGCAGGGCACCGTGTGTGTTTGGGGGAGCATCTAGCGAGGACCGAGCTATTTATCTTCTTTGCCAACCTGCTGCGGGCATTCACCTTCCGGCTCCCTGAAGGGGTGATGAAGATCAATACAGAGCCCATTTTGGGGGGTACGCTGCAGCCCCACCCGTACAGGGTTTGTGCCATTCCACGCTAGGGTGGACATGTGCGATATGTCATAGATAATCTATTAAGCAATCTTATTTACTTTATGAATGTATGTCTTGAGACCACAGAAAGTTTTTTGTCTTGGATATAAACTTCTGCTCCGAAAGCCACCTTTTGCCTACAGCAAGCAGTTTTGTTCACACTTCACACCCTGTTACCTGCTCTTGAAGGTGATTTGGTTTGTTTGTGGGTTTTTTTGGTTTTTTTTTTTTCCTGGCCTGGCAGATTTAAATCTGTGGTATGCTGGTGAGAAAATGACAAAATTGACTGGCAGACTTCAAAAATCTATTCATTGTTTCCAAGTTATCCTGTTTTCAAAAGCGATGGAGTTTGGAAAAACCTACCTGGAAAATTCTGCCCCTTTATATTACTGTCATCACTTACAACATTTCAGTCAACTTTTTGTTGATGGTCACTAATAAAAAATCTAAAGGAAAAATTAGCAACTGGTTTTATTTATGGATGACTTAGAGTTCTCTGAGAATTTGTAGATTTGATGCAGCAGAATATGTATAAGGCATCTGTAAATCTGCCAGAGGATAATTGGTTTGAGTCCAGTAGGCCTCAAAAGTGCAGGCTAAAAGTGAAGAGTGCTAAAGGTGAAGAGTGAAGATACAAAGGGAGGTTTTCTTTTAAGGCAGTTATGTTTAATATTTTAAAATTCTGCTAAGTTAATTTTTGGAAAGTCCTTTCTAACAGAGCAACTGTTTACTCCTGTGGGTTGACTCCTGTCAGGATCAGCACTGGGTAGTTGCTACAGCAGGTGCAAGGAGCTCCTCCAAGGGGCAGTTTGGGTGAGGAGCCTGATGGAACTAGAGCTCATGGTAAGTTGAAAAATATACATGGAAAACACCAGAGATACTTCTTAATCACCTCAGAAATTCAGCAGCATACCTGAAGCTAAAAAGGCTTGTCATATACGCAAAATACTGGTCAAATTCAGTGAAAGAATCTATAATAGCAGAAAAGGAAAAAAATTGGTTCCTGTGGTGGTGAATATAAATTTATTTATATTGGCTGGAAAAGACTTGTAAAGTGTAAGTGAACTTGTCCTTCATTAATATTCCTGTTTCCATGAGCGAGGATAGGACAGCTAAACAGACGATCATCTGTTAAATTGGTTATCACTAGATGTCGACTGCTGTGTGATTGAGATTAGTTTAGGCAGTTTACCATGAATCACAGATTTAGACCTGTCACATTATTTCTAATTCAATAGCTGATGGAACACAGCATCAAAATAGTAAGCACTTGATATTTAGCTGTTATTAAATTAAATGGCAGAATAGCACTAGTGAAATATGGTAGATCACATCCTGACATTTTATTTGACAGAAAACTGTGTGCCCTGTTAAAAACTGATGTCAAAGTCTCTGTGGATTTGCATGTGTGCACGGATAGATAAGGCAAAGCAGAAAACGCTGTGATTTGAGGATGTTGGAGCTGTCATTACTTCTTAAAAATGAAGATGGAAACATCAGTAGCAATACAAGCATTAACGTTATTGCTATGTGATGCTGTTGCTCCCGATGGCCACATGCTTCCCCAGATATCCTTGCAAAAGGGAAGCTCATAAATAGGCCTGAGATGGAAGCTTGCCCAGGAAGGCCCGTATGGAGCCAGAGCAACATGAGTTTTCTGAACCAAAACCATAAGTACCACTTGTCTGGATGCTCAAGAGGAGACTTGCAGGGTGCTTCAGAGGAAAACTGTAAGTCATAAGTGGGTAGGTTATTCGTATGTGGTTGTGCTAATGTCTATCTGTGGCAGGAACTGCTCGTTAGTGACTTTTAATTCATTGTGCACAGATGCCCAGGAGAGGAGAGCCCAGCACACTTGGTGTGGCAGCAGGACATCAGCAGGAGGCTCACAGCAGGGAGATGGGAGAGGTACGCATTTCAGAGCCTTTGCACTTCTGTTCTTGCCTGACTTATTTGAAAAGCAATTCACTTTAGAATATGAGCTAATAAAGCCTGGTCTTTTTGAGCTTTTAAAAGCCTTTTAAAGCCTTTTGAAGCCTGGCTGATGTTGCCACAGGAGGCCAACAAAGCTGAGAGCAGCTTTGAGAGGAGCCCAGCTGCCACTCCCATGTGCCACGTCAATTCTCTCAGCCTTGGCTGCATGGTACCTCCTCCACCAGGCTGCTGAGCTGTGTCACTCCAGGGCTGCTGGTCTTAAAGGGTGTCTTGGAGACCTCCACCATATCTACCCTTCATTCTTCTCTCTTCTCTTGTTTATTGCTTCTATGGTATTTCTCATGGCTTGCTTGGGCTCCATTTTCAGGACAGATGAGAGGGATTGACACCCTTTCTGTCCTCCGTATCATGAATGCTAGCCAGCCTGCTAGTGTTGGTGCACAGCTCTGTTGCTCCCACGTAGTCGCCTTTCTCTGTGATGGCCGAGGTTAGTTGCTTTTAGCCTGTGAAGCTGATCATACTTTGGTGCCTGATTTCTTGTCATGGGATCCCATTTAAAGGACTGGTGTTCTCCTGGATTGTCACATCAGTGACAGAAGTCTTGCACCTTTTAGATCATACTTCAAAATTTAAATCCTTGTAGGTAGAACACTGAAGAATGACTGGGAGCTGGCCTGGATGACCAGTCGAGGAGGATAGACTTGCAGGGAAGGGGATTGACTGACTTGGTTAGGCCACACTGTATTTTCCTGAAAACAAACTGGAAGTTCAGTTTTGTTTACAAACACGTGAAGATGGTCAGGCTTTAGCATAGTGGTTTTATCAGACGTGGAACTCTTTGCTTTGTCCTTCATCACCCCACCCTCCCCTTGTTTCTGAGGTCTTCCCCTGTGACTCCCCAGAGCAGCACCATGCAACTGTCCAACTATACAGTGGAAGATCTGGCTATAAAGGAAAATATAGAAAACGTAGAGAGGCAAAGCTGAAGTTTTTGGGTTCATGTAGCTCTTGGAGAGGCTCAGAGCCTTACGATACTGCAGTGCTCATGCGTCTCCCTTTCCAGTTAATTCTTCAAGGACACTCTGAACCCAGAGGAGTTGTCTGGTAAAGGTGGCTTCATAACTCTCTGTCTCTGCAGTAGCTCATCAGCAGGTAAGGAAGGTAGTCTCCTGATGTATAAAATTGAGGCCAAAATATAAAAAGACTAGAGAAAAAAAACCCTATATCTTTGCTCTAAAGGCATTTGGAGAGACCTATAATAATTATATTCATAACTATAAATGACAATTAAAACAACACATGTAGGTCAACTTGTTTTTTTCAAAATCAGGTGGAAATAAAAGGTTTTCTGTGATAATTTTAACGTTGTTGAAACATTATTTTCCTGAAATGAACACGTAAAATGTTTTCATGTTCACAGACACTCAACAAAGGAGAAAACATTTTCTCAGAGGTAAGAGGTGAAGAAAAGTAGATCACTGCTTAGTGCAGAGATCTTATTTTAAAATATATCTTGGTCTAGAAGTCTTCTTTTTACCTGGTGATAATAAAGAAGAATTCTAAGGAAAGGAGAAAGGTAAGAAAAACAAAGCAGTTCCAGGAAGAGAGCCTTAGAATTAGTGAGAATTTATTTTTTTCCAGTATCAGCTAGAAGACAGATAAAGCAGCAAGGAGATGTGAGGACTGAGCAAATCTTTAGTAGCTCAAATTATTTCTCTGCTAGCTGTTTGCTTTCTGAACTTACAATGGACCAGTGTCAGCTTCCTTCTGTATCAACTACAAAACGTGATTATAAATGTCATGATTTGGGAGTGTGGGAAGGTGTGACTGCAATGGAACAGGAGGAGCACATAAAATATATCACTCTAGTGGGAGGAGAGAGCACACTGCAAAAAAACCCCCAGCAACCCAAACCTCAAGCATTTATATCAAATGTCCTGCTGAGCAGAAGGCAGAGTGGGTGCACAGCTGTCTTTGGACATTAGGATGCATGTTCAGCACCAAGACTTTTGAACTGGCTGTAAATGACCTTGCTCAAGGAGCAGAAGCTGGCCAACCCAGCCACCAGGGAGCTTGCCCTGGTTTTCAGTTGAGCAATTAGCCCAGGCAGGACCTTGCCTTTCTGCAGTGAGCTGCTTCCTGATGTCGAACTTAACTCTTGCAAAGCCAGCATAGATGTTTCTGCTCTGCATCTGCAGGAAAAAAGTGGACCTTTCCGACCTATGAGAAGTAATCCCTTTTAACAGAGAGAGAAATGTGGCTTCTGTAAAAGAAGAGAAGGACAAGGGCGAGGAAGAGAGTTCTGTGGAGTACTTTAATACAAATTCCCACGTTAGTAAGGACATGATTCGTTCCCTAGTATCTTGAGCCTTAACAAACATATTTCGGTGTCTGCACAGTGTCAGAAGCACAACCTAAAGTGAAAGCTTCTGCAGTGTCTCATTCCTTGAACAGTTTGCCAGTGACTGTTGAGATGAGATGAAAGTTTCAACATCTAGAACTTCCAGATGTGTTACCTGGCAGATTTGCTCCATGTATCCTTAAAGTTTATACCCAAAGCAAATATAAGTAATAAAGAATAAAAATGCTGTATTTCAGTAGTATAATGAGGACCAAAGAAAATGCTGGTTTCCTAGAACTGCAGTACATCAGGCAGGCTCTCTGGCAGATGGACAATTTAATGCCTTTTTTGGCTTTGGTTGTCGATGAAAATGGCAACAGTGATCCAGAGTAACATTTAACACCACTGATGTTCATGGAAGATTTCTGTCTAGATTAGGGAGAAGAGGTTAGAAAATAACTAGATAAATGTGATGTTTTCAGATTGGCTGGGCTGATTCATCCCAGGGTGCTTAGGGAACAATATGGACCCCTGAGCTATTAGCAATTATCTATGAGAACCTGTGGAGCATGGGAAAAGGTCAAACATTTGTTTGTCTTTAGAAGGTAAGAGAAGTTGCAGTGTTATAAATCAGTCAGCCCGACTGCACTTCTTAGAATATCCCGGGAAAATCAAATTGTAAGCACTGGGAAGAAAACAGAAAGAGTCAGTGCTCACCAAATGATGTCAAAG